TATATAATTGTTATATTGTGGATATGCTGTTTTGTATTGCCTTTTGTAATTTGCCTTTTATATGTTGTACACTGCGCGAGTCGCCCTAGGGCTGAGAGCGGCGGTCAACAAATGCACCAAATAAATAAATAAAATAAATTTTCAGCCGTGGAGTCCTTTTTGAAGCAAACGCTTCTTGTGGAGCTCCAAGAAATGTTTATATATTATATTATATATAATGTGTGTGTGTGTTTGTGTATGTATCAGGCATAGGCAAGGCCAGTGGTTGATAGATGGAGAGTATGTGTGTGAGCTAATTCACACAGTGCAAAAGTAATAATAAACAATACAACAATTAAAATGAAGAACATTTTTAACCAACATAAACTTAACAGTATTTCAGTGGAAGACCCTCAGGGCCATCCAGTCCAAACTCCTTCTGCCATGATGGAAAAACACTAACAAACACCCCAACAGATGACCATCCAACCTTTGTAATAATAATAGAAACCCCAGAGGAGGTGGGGCACCTGTGGAGTCTCTGAGCACCTCTAATGGAGCCCAAAGGGCTCCCCGGAGCACAGTTTGAGAACTGCTGCCTTAGAAAAACAACAGAATAGTAGTAGTGATGAAGGCTACATAGTTGTAGTATTAGTGACAGTAAGATCTACATTTTAGGAAGAGAGTGAAGCTTTCAGACTTTAATTGGTACTTTTTCTCCTTGAAAAAACAGCTTTCCACAAATAGAAGGACAGCTGGAAAATGTGCTGTCTCATATCCAAAACTCTGACCCAAGACTGCAGGTTTGACAACAACCACCTCTTCTCCCAAAAGAATTTTACCAGGCAGCTAGGGCTGCTGTATTACACATTACTGTGAGGGATTACCCATGTTTGTGACTTTTTGGGACAATATAAATGGTGACTATGTCAGTGAGACTCCAAATATTGATGGGCCTAAAATATCCCTTACTACTGGCCATACTGGCTAGGGCTTCTCAGGGTTGAGGTCCAACAACATCTGGTGATGAATGTTGGGGATTATCAGTTTGGGCATGCTCTTCAGCTTAGAAAGATAGTTTTGGTTCCTCTGAGACTACATCTGCTATTTTGAGTATTCGAATTGATGTTTCGTCACTCCTGGATGTGCGTGTATGCGTGTTGGGGGCTGGGAAGGAAGTCCTGTGTAATGTGATTGTAATCTACCTGGACCCTGCTGACCCCCCCCCCCAAAAAAAAATCATTGCTCCCCCCAATGATACTTTTGCCCAATGTAGGGGGGAGCAATGGCTTTTTTTTGGGGGGGGGTATCAGGGTCCAGGCAGGTCACAATCATTATTGGTCTCTAGACTAGGCTTTCTGATGATGGATACAATTCCAGGACCTTAGAAGCTGTCTACAAGTTGTCAGGTCCCCATTACTGTCCTGGATAGAGCAAGAACCCAGGAAGAGAGTAAAGCTTGTTAGTATAGAACGCTATACATCGTAGACAGCACTCATTTGCATCCCTTAATTCCTTACACAGTCCTGTTTACCTTGTCTTCAGTCAATCCCTGGTGTATGATAAATGTTACAGATATTTGATTAAGACAGAAACTTTTAATCAATTGCATGATGTTATAAAGTATATAATCTTTATCTGCAGCTTCATTATTGGCCTGTGTTCCCATTTACCTACTTGGAAAGGATCCCAGCAATAGAAACATAAAAAATCTAACATGGTATAAAACTTTCATAGCAAACAAGAAAGAAAGAAAAACATTGCCAGCAGTTAAGTATTAATTAGCTTCTGTTCTGCTACAATATATACTGGCACAAGGAAAATTATGAACTCAAGCACGCAAAGGAAAGACAAGTCCTATATTTTTCAGATGGGGAGAGCACCCTTGAGATTAGTTATAACTTCCATAAATTTTATCTTATCTACACAGGTGCTACCAAATGAACAGTTAGAATCTCAAAGTATACGTATTGCTCATATAGCATTTTCAAGATAATGTTGCTGAAAAGCCCAACTGGAAATGTTTTTCTTTTTAAAAGATGCCTAAACAAAGCTGTTTAAGATGATGCTATTCTGTTGGTAGCTAACAGAGTTATGACTTATAGCAGAGACAAACAATATCAGTAACTCACGTGGGCATTTCCGGGCCTTCTTGAACTGGACATAGATGAGCTGCATTTTGTCAAGGCATGCCTCCATTTTCTGGATGCTGAAGTACCAGATTAGAGACAGAAACCCAATAAAACATCAGTTAAATCATATCCTTAACTAGAGGACATGTCTACAGTAACACAAAATTCCAAGGGAACCCTGCCTAGGAGAGAAGGAATGGGAAACAAGACAAAAGTTTAGACATAACCTTGGGATCATGAGATGCAAGGCTTGGATGAAGAACCTTCACCAGAAACCAAGAATGGAATATACCACCATAGTATTTTTCTTGCAACTGCCCAACAACCATCCATTTCTTAATATGTCAAGAGAAAGAACTCTTCCATAAATTTATTGAAATGAAAGAATTGAAATGTTCTCAATTTCAACACGCCAGGAGTCTTCAACTGAAGGAACATTCATACACAAGTTCTGAAGAACCATAACCTCCCAAGTGAAACTATAGGTGTTTTGAGAGCCTCTTTGGAGGCCCGTCTCCTTGTCCTGCCATTTTTAAGGGTTCATCTGATGGGAACATAGGAGAGGGCTGATAGCTTTAGGGGACTAGTCCTTGTAGATTTGTGCTGTATTGCCTGTGTGTCTTTTGTCTATTTGTTGTTTTTAAAAGTTATACTTTTACATGATTTTAGTTTTATGGGTGTATTACCTTTCTGAATTGAAAGAGGCCAATGAGGGTTGGATTATATCATTTTGCTGAATATTTCACAGACAAAGATGCTTCTTTAGAACTGGTGACTGTACGACCTATAATTTATGTTGTGGAATATTCATTTTCTACTTCCATATGAGAGAAGCATATGGTCCATGAAATCTTCATAATATCTTTGCAAGAGAAGCTAATCCGGATTTTACAGATGGGGAAGTGGAGCACAGACAGTTTTAAAGACTATTGAGCACAAAAACAGTGAGGGCTCAGACAGGCAAGAAAATCACAGGTGGTTTGAGCAACATCCATCCTGGAAATCTCAGCCTGTCTTACTAAGAAAAATAAATATTGATTCTGATTTTCTCTTTAATTCTTCCAGTATGGGGACAAATTTGAAATGAATGTCTGACCACTAATTTATAATAAATACACACATAATATATACCAATGGAGTTCCATGCAAAAAATCACTACAGCCAATGAATGTGAACAGCAACAACAACCACCAGTAGTAGCAAGTCACATTTTTGACGATTTAAATCAAGCTACTAACTCCTCTGTTTCAGCATGTTGGTGGACAATTAGAAGTCTTGAGATAGCTACAATTAACTACTACACTACAGTACAGTAATTAGTAGAGATTTACATACACCAGAGCCCCCGATGGCTCAGTGGGTTAAAGCACTGAGCTGCTGAACTTGTTGACCAAATGGTCACAGGTTCAAATATGAGGAGCGGCGTGAGCTCCCGCTATCAGCCCCAGCTTCTGCCAACCTAGCAGTTCAAAAACATGCAAATGTGAGTAGATCAATAGGTACCGCTCCGGTGGGAAGGTAACGGTGCTCCATGCAGTCATGCCGGCCACATGACCTTGGAGGTGTCTACAGACAACACTGGTTCTTTGGCTTAGAAATGGAGATGAGCACCAACCCCCACAGCTGGGCACGAATGGACTTAATGTCAGGGGAAAACCTTTACCTTTACTACATACACTACTGTGGAATTTGCCACCCATTCACAATCCAAAATGGTTGGTATGTGCTGTTTATGCAAACAGATCAGTACTGGCTATGTTTCCAAAGACACTGCGAGACAAATGAGTAGAATGATTATACCTGAGAACACTCATAGACTCACTAATGCTCCTTCTCCCAGTTATGACACTCAGAATGAGATTTCATTTCTTGTCATTCTTAAGCAGCTGTTCAGAGTTTCACAATGGATGTCCACTTGCTCCTTAGCATCTCCTTCTTAGTCTGACATAAAGGCTTAGGGCAGGCGATAAGATTAGGCCATAAACTATTCTAGTGCTGCATTCGCCATCTTTGCCGCTACCGGAAGTCTCATGAAATCAGTTTTGACATCAAGAATAAATATGCTATCCACCAGCTATACTCCCCTGTTACAGCTATGGGGAAGTATTTATTTTTATAAATGGCAAGAAAGCCTCTGGAAAATCACTGTTCAACTCTAATATCCTAGGATGTTATCTAGGATATTTCCTGCTTCTAGGCAGGGGGTTGGACTGGATGGCCCACGAGGTCTCTTCCAACTCTATGATTCTATCTTTTTTCAGGACTGCATGCATGATTGATACCTTTCTGTAGCTGTTGCCACTTAGATCTCATTGGAATATTTTCCTTGATGGTATCTCCTTACCTAATGAACTTCTAACCGTTTACCACTATATTTCCATGATCCATACAGCCGTTCTTTTTGCCAATTTCTTGCCTGCCTAAATTTCCCCTTCCCATCATTTTTAATGCTGCCCCAATGCCAACTGTCTATGATGCACACTATAAAAATAAGCGACATGGTAAACACAGCTTTGATTAAACTCCAGCCGCCAGGGAAACAAACACCAGACATCCAAGTGCAATCTATTCTGACTGTTCTGTCTCAGCCAGTCCCAGCTTTTGTTGATACTTTAAAGCTATCCCAAGAGGCCCATAATCCAAGAAAATGGCATCTTCTGCTCAGCCTTTGGATAATAAGTCTCCAGACTGGGGGATGCCATGAAAAGCAGTTCACAGTAGCACATTTCTCCTTCACCCCACATCAAACCAGCTCCTCATGAATGCTAATAACCAAAGTCTATTCTGAGTAACACCATCATTGCCCTGGTTTGGAGAAGTAAGCTAGATTCAGCAAGTAACTATAGACTTTGCTGTTATTTACAGCTTGTACTCTGTTCTTAGGCAATGCTTGACTTTCAAGGGCTTGTTCTAATTTTTTTCAGCTGCTTTGAATAGCATTTTGGATAAAAGTCAGAATGTAAATATTTTTGGTAAACAAAATGGAGCCATTCAGCCAGAATGTTTTGACTAGTTCAAGATAAGACAGATCAGATTACATATGTGTCCCTGTCATTCTTTGGGATTAATTTTTGAACAAGAACTTGAAATAATAATCATCATATGAAGTCTTAATTTGTGTTGCTGTTCTTTTCTCAGGAGAAAATCCCAGAGGCTAACAGCCTAAGTACATCTATATTACATGAGAATGAGCCAGTCACTTTTGGCATACCTCCGTCCCGCTCTCACTTATTAAAATTCAGATTTACTAGAAGTACTTTTCCCATAATTGCCATTTTAAAAAAAATGGTAAATATTCTGCATACAGGAAAGAGACCGTGGGGTGGATATTATTTTCCTCCCCATGCTTTGTCGGTGGGATTTATACTCTGAATTAATTGCCAAGTTCAATTTAATAATTTTTCTGCCGTTTTCAATACTCCTACCAACCTTCTGTCTTCTTTCATTTGGTTCTGTTTTTTCCCAACTTCAGACAAAATGCCTTGCACAGCTGCTTGCTGTTCAGAAATGCTGTGGCCATATCTGGAGATCTCTTCACTGATCTGTGCCAAGAAAGACAAAGTCCAAAGAAATCCATTTATAGCTCATATGCTATTTTGCAAGTATTCACATGTAATATTTACATGTCATAACAATATACAGTCAGCCTTCCACACTTGTGGATTTAATCTTTTGGAGTTGATTATTCATGAATTTGATTAATATGTAATGTCAATAATAATAATAATAATCATCATCATCATCAACAACAACAACTTTATTTATATTCTGCCCTCTCTCCCCATGGGGAGTCCCCAAGTGGACTCTAGGAATCCCTAGGTCATCCAGGGTGATTCTATGGTCAACTTCTGGGATTTTTTTATTCATGGTTATTCCACTTTCATTGAGACCCTGCACCCATAGCCCCCATTAAAGGGGGGGGGGGCGCTTCTGTAAAATAATTGTCTGGGATACCGTTCTTAAATATACAAGTTCATATTGTTTGTAAGATATATTTCTAAAAACTATAGTCTTGCACAGTATCTGAAACAGTTAAAGTTAAAATGGATAAAAATGACCTAGTAAAATTGAATACTTTAAAGGAAAATATGTAAATATTATAGAAACTCCAAGCCTACTTCAGAGAAGAACATTTATTTAGTCTGGCGAGGGAGAGCTGCAATCCTGCACATTATAGATCAGCCTTCTAGCTATGGAAAGTCAAAATATATTTTGTTCATGCTAAGAATTAAGGCTTTTTTTACTTTAAATAGTGACTTTTTATTTTGAGGAATCAAGCACCAGAGGGATCCTTCTTCTAGTTTTTGATGAGAGAACCTAATCAACATATATTGCTCACGTGCAGAGGCTATGCATAAATAATAGAATCTTATGTAAGACTGGCTTTAAATGCAACCCAATGCTGTGAAAAAGTTTTAGCTCTTGTAATTATATGCTGAGATAGCTTGGTCATAGTGGCCCATGTTCTGGTAGCCTCTTTATGATCCATGCTGCATTGAGAGTGGCTCTTGAAGACCGTTTGGTAAGACTCATATCGTATCTTAAAGGATTTCATTGTCTTATTTTCAAATCCAGTTCACAATACCGGGTCCACCTTAGGTCTCCAATATCTGGAAGAGCCTCTTCCTCCTGCCCTATAAACCAGTAGTTCCCAACCTTTTTTTTAAACCAAGGAGCACTCTACCAGGGACCACTTGACCAGGGACCACTATGACCAGGGACCACTCTCCAACATTAGTACCAAAAGGGTTAGAAATCAGTTTTTGGTCAACTTTAGATTCAGTTTAGTTATTTGGGGTGCCGATTCAGAAGATTGCATTGGATAGACCACATCAGCTCTAGTTTTTGATACAGAACATATGCCATCCCGTAGTCACCATCTGCTCACTCAAAGAAAACCATATTTAATAAGCCTTGGCACTATAAGAAGGTTTTGCGAGACTAGTCTCCCTCATTACAATGGTTTAGTAATGGTGAGGAAGCTGAATATATTTTAGATCTTGCAGACAACTGGTGGTCCATGGACCACAGGTTGGGCTATAAACCCTGATGCTAAAACCAGCATATGGTGCTTTTTTATTAGTTTTGCCACATTCACAAGTTGTTAGGGTGGAAGAACATAAAGGAAGCTTCCTTGTGACCAACGTACGTGAAATTCCACCCTTCTGGTGCCTTCACTCCACACACTTTAAAAGCAAGTATATTCTCTACCCAGGACTTTCAAAGTGGGTGAAAGATGAGAATATATTTCCTCTCAGTAGTGAAGCTGAGTACTGTATCGGTTTTGAGATCACAGCGATGGTTTTAAATTATTTTACCAACATGTACTGTATGTATCCAGTCCTGGAGCTATCAGGTTACAAGGACAGGTTAGAAATGTAAACAGGAGTCAGCTTGGTGTAGTAGTTTGAGTATTAGACTATATCCATGAAACCCATGGGGTGACTTTGGGCAAGTTGTATTCTCACAGTCTCAGAGGGAAGCTATGGCAAACCTCTTCTTAACAAATCTTGTCAAGAAAACCTTATGAAAAGGTAATATTAAGGTCACTGTAAGTCAGAAATGACTTAAAAACACATCCCAGAAATGTAAGCAGCATCATACAGAAACACAGGAAACTATCTTATACAGAATCAGCTCATTGCTCTATTTAGTTTATATTGTCAACTATGACTACCAGGGCTGTCCTTGATTTTCAGCAGGATTTTTCCTAGATTTTTCCTGGAGACACTCTGTTTTCACATTTTTCCTGGAGATTACTGGCATGCTACAGTTATCTCCAATGCAAGTATTAACCAGGTCCAACCCTGCTTAACTTTTGAAATCAGACAAGACTGACTGTATGCAGGTTAGTATGACAATATTTAGTTTTACTCCCTAAACATACTATAATCCCTAACATTTTTCTAAAAAGCTCTGGCTTAGCTTAGATCAGCTTTTGGCATATGTAAAGGTACTACACAACATTTTCCATGCACCATTGATGGGAATAACTCACAGCTTGAAGTCTTGTTTTCAGTTCAGTCACACCTTTAATGTCTGGAATGTCAGAGTCTCCAGTAACAGCCTCATACCTGTTAGATAAAAAGGAGTCATAGGATATGATTTTTTTTAAACGCAAAAAGGGGTTTTCCCATGTCTAGATTTACAAACTAACCATAATGGGGGAAAGTATTCAATTTATATCAGAACTTTCCAGAGGAACTATGTAAAGCAATTTACAAAACTGCTTGTGGGGGGAGTTCATTGAAAAACCAGCTGTGCACAGATATTTGCTAATAGGTATTTGTAACTTTCAGACAATATCAGTCTATATATGAACCTTTGATTCCAATGAGTGCTTTAGATGATATTTGTGCAGATTGATATGAAATCATTTGCCCCAAAATATTATTTACAAACAAGCACATTTGAATCTACAAAACAAACTGAGCAATTCCTCAGTTTGCTCAGCAACATCTCACTATTATTTTAACATCTTGGCCTGATGAAGATGCCAGTGAAGCATTGAAATCTTGTAGAACTTATTTTATGCTTTGGAGCTGGCCCAAAAATGGCATCACTGCTTGTGAATTTGAGATTTTGATGTATTTTTCTGCACAGCCTACACAGCTACCTCAACATTTTATGCTGAGAGAAATGAAAGTGAAATCTGATGTGGAATACCAACAGAAGGGAACCAGAGATATAAAGCAAGTATAGACTTAATAAAGATATAAATGAATTAAGGAAGCAGAACACACAGCAAAGAGTAATGGGAAGGGGAAGTGAGAGCAAGAAGATGTAGAAGACAGGCCAAGCCATTAACTTGGTATGTTTTGGACATTTTAGACAAATGATGACATTGGTGAAGGACAGGCTCATAACATTTTTCATCCTCCTATGTTGCTGCCTTTTAAAAATTTAATAAGCACTACTGTCTTTTCTTCCACTTGCACAAAGCTCAAAACTGCAGTGCTAGTCTTTGTGGCTTTGCTATCCTGATGCACCCTGTAATACAGACCACAAGAAATCTCAGCCAAACACAGCAACCATCCTTGGCTCTTCTGAAATCAAGGACACATGTTGAAAAACACAGTCTTTGTGCTATTGTCAATGTTTTCCACTCTACCCAACTGTTCGTCTGTTGTCCCCTTTCTCCAAAATTATATTCTGCATATTTCTTTTGTTTTAATCCTCTACTGGCACATCAGCGGTGGGCCTTGATGGACTTACTAAATACTAACAGCTTCCCTGCTATGGGAAATCTGATCTCAGGGCTCCTCCAGATGGTGACTTTCCGCATTCCTGGCTCAATATTGCATTGTACAGGAAGTATTTCACAGAAGCACAATATTACATAATACTAGAATATGAAAGGTGAAAGGGGACAAAAAGGCCACATAGGCCAACCTCCTAAAGCACTTGCGAAAGAGGTCTATCTAATCTCTATTTAAACTCCACTATTCTCCAAGGCAGTCCGATTCATAATATGTTTTCCTTTGCTAGCTTAGAAAGTCAACCATGTGGCTTAAAGGCGACACTTGGCCTCAACTATAATAATATAATAATAAAATTTTATGTCTAACCCACCCTCTCTCCCCAAAAGGAGTCAGGGTGGCTTTCAAATAGAAAGGCAAATATTCAATGCCATATACATTCATAAAAACACAGCACAATAAAATAACAAATACCATAAATCATAGTTAAAAGCATGTATATAATAGATTCTATGGGGAGGATAAACTAGTCTACTGGGTTTGAATGAAAGCAGACTGGTGGAGACCAACAAAAGTTCTCACATTTGAATGTTAGGAACTAGGTCAGGGGTCCCCAAACTACGGCCCGCGGGCCACTTCCGGCCCGCCAAGGGCCCCGATCCGGCCCGCGGAGGAGGAGCCCCCCCCCCAGTGCCCCTCCGTTGGCTGGCTCACGCTATCTGTCAGGCCTGATGGCAGTGTGAGCCAACCAAGGGAGGCTGCTCCGCGTGGTCTACTCGTGAGTAAAGCACCTCGCGAGGTGCTTTACTCAAGTAGGCCGCGCAGGCCTGCTCCTCCCTTGGCAGCCTCACGCTGTCCATCGGGCCTGATGGACAGCGTGAGCCAGCCAAGGGAGGCTGCTCCGCGTGGTCTACTCGCAAGTAGGCCGCGCAGGCCTGCTCCCCCCTTGGCATGTTCATGCTATCTATCAGGCCTGATGGACAGTGTGAGCCAGCCAAGGGAGGCTGCTCCGCGTGGTCTACTTGCGAGTAAAGCACCTCGCGAGGTGCTTTACTCACAGACAGCGTGAGCCAGCCAAGGGAGGCTGCTCCGCGTGGTCTACTCGCAAGTAGGCCGCGCGGGCCTGCTCCCCCCTTGGCAGGCTCATGCTATCCGTCAGGCCTGATGGACAGCGTGAGCCAGCCAAGGGAGGCTGCTCCGCGTGGTCTACTCACAAGTAGGCCGCGCGGGCCTGCTCCTCCCTTGGCAGGCTCAAGCTATCCTTCAGGCCTGATGGACAGCGTGAACCAGCCAAGGGAGGCTGCCCAGGCGCTACATGCAGTCATGCTGGCCACATGACCTTGGAGATGTCTATGGACAACACTGGCTCTTCGACTTAGAAATGTAGATGAGCACCACAGAGTCAGACACGACTGGACTTCATGTCAGAGGAAAACCTTTAACCAGGAAAATTGTGGAATATCCAGGGTGGGAGAAAGAACTCTTGTCTGTTAGAGGTAGGTATGAATGTTTCAATTGGCCACCTTGATTGCCATTTCATAGCCTGACAGTTTTTAGGGAGAATCCTTTGTTGAGAGATGATTAGCTGGCCCTGATTGTTTCTTGTCTGGAGTTCCCCTGTGTTTGAGTGTTGTTCTTTATTTACAGTTATAATTTTAGAGTTTTTTAAATACTGGTAGCCAGATTTTTTCAGACTAGAAATAGGAAGATTTCCCATTCTCTGCTCCTGGAATTACTGCCTAAAGAGGGCTAGAAAGAACCCCTCTAAGGGCCCTTCCACACAGCAAAATAAGATATGTGCAATGTGCATAGGAATTTTTTATTGATTTTTTTTTAAAAAAACTATAGTCCGGCCCTCCATCGGTCTGAGGGACAGTGAACTGGCCCCCGGTTTAAAAAGTTTGAGGACCCCTGAACTAGGTGATATGGAGACTACAACTACAGTGCAAAAGCATTAGTAGTCTCTAGCATTTCCCTGGAGCTGATCATTAGCATCCCTCTGTAGAACAACAATCCCTATTTCCAGCATGTAATGCATTAGGAGTTCTATTGAAGAATTCACTATTGAAGAATGGCACTTACAGGAGCAGGATCTTCATCTCTATTTGCTGTGTGAAGCTGAGCATTCCCATCACAGCTTGCCACTTTTCTAGAACCTGGAGACACTCCGTTTTCAATGTTTCACTGTAAAGAAACAATGTCACAATCTCTGCTGTATTTGGGACCTCAGATCTTTTGCACAGACCTGTGCTCCTGCCAGAGATGGCCAGGATCTTCCATGTTAGTGGAACTGTAAAATTCATTTAAGGATTTTGTTTACACATTTTAAAAAGCTATCCAAGGTACTGAACCCTATCTTGCAAAAGGCACAGCACCTTAGACAGTTCTTTAAAAGTTCAGACTAAACCCCAGCATGGAGTCAGTCTGCACAGACACAACAGTCACCAGATTTCATTAGATTCTGCTATATAATAAATAAATTTACATTTTCAAACTTATCCTCTTTAAATATGAAGAATCTTCTGTCTTGGAAACTGAGAAGTCAAGTGGATGTTTTTCCTCTGTGCAGAAAATAGCAGCCACATGGGGCTATTTTACTTTAAAAAATTGTGTTGGCTCAATATCTTCCTGCTGCTTGTGACCAAATGGTAATGCCTTGCAATTGTATATTAGGTGAAAACAAACAAATCAAAACATCAGGAGATCCAGTCATAAATCTCTTATAGACATTTAAGCTGTAGTTTACATCTTAGAAACCATAAAAATGAAGCCAACACTAAGAAGGGGGGGGGGGGTGCTGGCCTTGCCTAAGATGAACGTAACACTGGTTTGTTTGCCATGCACTTCAGAAACCAGGAAGAAGATAACTTGCATTTTTAGGGAAGGGATAACGTAATGATGACCCATGATTTTCTCCACTCCTTTCATAGGAGAAACGAAAAGTGGAAATACCTATTATCTATCTTCTGTATAGAACGTATACTGGGCAGGGAAGGAGAGGAGAGAAGTTGGCACTTCCGTCCTTCCTAAATCAAAGATAAGGGCAATTCCCATGCTCTATTAGAAATGTGTCAAGAAAAGCCATGCTAATTTACATTAGTCCAGCTTCTACAAGGACCAACTAGATGCCTATAGGAAGCAAATACTCAGACTATGAATTTAATTACAGCACCCTATTCCTTGTTTCCAGTAACTTGTCTTCAGAGATACAGTGTCTTTGATACTGCAATTAACATAGAAGGACAATTGCCCATTGGCTGCTTTAACTTCTGCAATAAAGTTTTCCATCTGTTTTGGACTTCAGTTCCCAGGGATAAGCTCGTGTGGGTTTCTGGAAGTTCAAGTCAAAATGTTTGAAGGACTAAAGGTCTACAGCAGGGGCAGTCCACTTCCATAGATTTGGGACCCACTTTTCAGGTTGGCCAACCACTAAAGGATTGTCCTCCCAAAGAGAACTGGTCTACAAGGATAGAGTAGAAGTCAGCATTATTTTAAATTAAAAGAAGATAAAGTAGATAAACATTTGAAATCTAAAATGACCCAGAAAGGGAAATAAATGTGGCAAAATTGCTTTTTTAGTGATATACCATATATGGCTACAGGACATTTAGGGATCATTTTCCATGTTATTCAAGGGGTGGAGAGCGGCCCTTTTAGGTCCCCCAGGGAATCAATACAATCATTTCTCCTGACATCTGAACATCCTTGATTTGTTATTAATCAATCGGTTATTCTGTAATATAACTTGCACATATTTATACAAAAGAGTAGAAGTGAGGGCTTTTAGAGCAGGCTTATCAATGGTTAACTGGATTTTCCAGCCAATGTAGCAGACATTGCTTCTATTCTCTAAACCAAGAGATGTTTCCTTCAGCTCAGCTATTGCTTCCCACTTTAACCACATGATGATTTATTCTGCACTTCAGTTTGACATTCCGCATTTGGAAAATAATGCTTGACAAGGTGGAAATTGTGACAATCCACGCCACCATATCCTTCCATGTTTTCCCCAGCCATGAGGAGGTATTTTGTACATAGCTAGATGTTTCCAGTCAAAACTAATTTCTCTGCAAACAAAAGAACTGGTCCAAAGCCTGTACAATCTGCTTATTTCTCTCTGTAATGTAAATCAACTGAACACATTCCATTAAGTACACTGCAAACCAGCTATTCTGGAAAAAAGCAAATTTGGAGGAGAGGATGAAGCTGCATGTGTTTATCTGACAACTTTAATTTCGTATCAGACTCTGGATCTTCAAACCTCTGTCCAAAGCTGTTTCATCTTGTTTTAAAGTACAAAGACAACTCATTCTTTTCTGCCTAGTTAGAATTTATAATTTGACATTGGTTCATATATTTATATGTATTTATATTCTGCTTGGTAACAAAAGCTCACTTGGCAGTTTAGAAATCGGAGTTAAAAACCATTAAATAGAATCATAAATCATAAACATGAAATCTGAGACAAAATAAAAACAGTTAACAGAATAGTTTGGTTGTTGTGAGTTTTCCAGGCTGAATGGCCATGTTCCAGACGCATTCTCTCCTGACATTTCACCTGCATCTATGGCAGGCATCCTCAGAGGTTGGGAAGTTTATTGGAAACTAGGAAAATGGGATTTATATATCTGTGGAATATCCATGGTGGGAGAAGGAATTCTTGTCTGTTTGAGGTAGGTGTGAATGTTCCAATTAGCCAACTTGATAAGCATTTAATGGCCCAGCAGTTTCAAGGCTTGGCTTCTTACTAGGTTTGGGGGAATCCTTTGATGGGAGGTGATTGGCTGGCCTTGATTGTTTCTTGTCTGGAATTCCCCTGTTTTTGAGTGTTGTTCTTCATTTACTGTTATGATTTCAGAGTTTTTTAATACTGGTAGCCAGAGTTAACAGAATAAACTAGAATAAAACCCAGTATATATTAATGATAATGCCAAAGATCTAAAGTAGTGCTAAAGTTTTTTTTAAAAAGCTCACTATATATTTGTTTATATAATATTAAACCTGTATATTATATTACAAAGTCTTATGGTGTTAAATCAGCTGCACATAATTCATTACCTATATAGTCCTATTTGGTTCAGGTCCAGACTATCCAAAAGACCTTATCTCCCTATATAAACATGCCAGAACCCTAGGATCCACAGGGGAGGCTTTCTCTTGGTCCCTCTACTATAATCACAGGGTTCATTTGGTGAGAACACAATAGTCTTCTCGGTGGCTGTTCCCACCCTCTGGGACTCCCTTTCATAGTAGGCTAAGGGTACATCTACACTATAGAATTAATGAAGACTGTCATCATTTTAATTGCTATGGCTCAGGGAGTTGTAGCTTTAGTAAAGGTAAAGTTTTCCCCTAACATTAAATCTAGTCATGTCCGACTCATCTCCATTTATAAGCCGAAGAGCCGGTGTTGTCTGCAGACACCTCCAAGGTCATGTGGCCAGCATGACTGCATGGAGTGCCATTACCTTCCTGCCAAAGTGGTACCTATAGATCTATTCACATTTGCATGTTTTTGAACTGCTTGGTTGGCAGAAGCTGGAGCTAACAGCGAGAGCTCACCCCGCTTCCCGGATTTGAACCACTGACCTTTTGGCCAGCAACTTCAGCAACTCAGTGGTTTAATCCACTGTACCACCAGTTGGCCTTGTAAAGCTACAGGGGCTGTAGCTTTACAAGGTGCTAAATAGTGCTCCTGCCTCAACAAACTAATAATCCCAATATTCCATAACACTGAGTCACTGCTGTCTAGATGCACCCTAGGCTGGTTCCTTCCAACTTTCAATGGCAGGTGAAGACATTGCTATTCAAACAGGCTTCTAACATGTAAGCAGGAGACCTTGCTATTGAGATATATTATTTTTTTTAAGCTTGTGCATGTTTTTAAAATATTATTAAACTGTTTCATGTGCTATTAGTTTTTTAAAAAAATATTGGGAATATTTTTAATTGTGCTGGAAAATACCTTGGATTCCACTTTGGGAAAAGTTGGCATATTAATGCAATAAATAGATACATACATACATAAATGTTACAAAGACACAAACTGCTTCACGTGATTTTGTGAGTGCCCAGGGAAGGGCCTCTCAAGATTACTGTAAGGTCCTGCTTTGGTCAGGCTAGCCCCGGACACCACAGTTCAGGAGAGATATCGACATGCTGGAACGTGTCCAGAAAAGAGTGAACAAAATCATTAAAAACCTGGAAGCCTAGTGATATGAGGAATAGCTGAGAGAGCCGGGTATGTTTAGCTTAAAGAAAAGAAGATTAAGGGGTCATGTTTAAATATTTGAACGTATGTTACATTTGGAGCCCCTGGTGGCGCAGTGAGTTAAACCGCTGAGCTGCTGAACTGCTGACCAAAAGATTGGGGTGAGTTCCCGCTGTTGCCCCAAGTTCTGCCAACCTAGCAATTTGAAAACATGAAAATGTGAGTAGATCAATAGGTACCACTTCGGCAGGAAGGTAACGGTGCTCATATGTTAGTTGAACACAGAAAACAATTGGAAACTATCTCTGATGACCAATGTGATAACATCAACCTATCTTAAGTTTGTTTTGCCTAAAAAAGATCTTATCGCTCCATTTTATGTAAGCTAAATTTCTGGCCATTTTTCAAAGGCAGTCTTACAAATGAAGTTGTAAACAAACTCTCTGGGAAAGTGAATTATACTGGAATTAACCTGATTTTATTGCAAGCCTGGAACACCTTTACCAGTGCCCAAACAAAAAAGCCTGTTATTCGGTTTACACACCAACAGCAATAAATAAATAAATATTTTTTTTACCTACCTCAGCCAATACAAGCCTCTAAGAATGAGCTCTTGACCCTTTAGAAATGACCGAGATATCCTCAGTGTTTGGTGAGTTGCACTCAGAACACCCTAGGGGATAAACAAATAGTGCTTGTGATTGTCCTATATACAATTAATTGGTATGATATTGGCTCAAAAGCAGCAAGACTATATAAATAATATCACCATAGGCTGAAAGGACATGATAGATATATATATGTGTGTGACCAAGGTCGGACAACAAGCAGAGAAAGCTGAGGTGGAAAATCAGGAGTGAAATGTGAGACTGGACAGGGATGGTGGCATGGAAATAAATTGTCCCGGTAGCACAGGAAATTCTTCCTCCTTTTCTGAACTCAGACATGGATATCAACAAACAACTGCTGTGTTAGCATGTATTGAATGAATGAGAATGGATGGAAGAAGCGAAGGAAGGCATCTTCTGCATCAACAATACATTTCACCCTCTATTCTTGAGCCTCCGGTCACAGATTCCCCTCCTTCATATCCAAGGGTCCTGGTCCTTTTCCCTCTGTATGGAGGGGGAGGAAATCTGATCCAAGATTTTCAAATTTTAACATGCCTTATTTGTTTTAACATGAGAAGGAGGGGGGAGAAGAAGAAATACAAGGGAAAGAATTTAAATGCGCCTCTGAGACTGCTAGTTTATTTCAACATGGTCTGTGGTGGACTTCAATCCACTTCTTCAGACAGACAAATGAAACACAAGTATTAAGTACTGTAGACTCTTAGTTAACCAGCACCCACGGGGATTGATAGATGCTGGATAAATATAATTTTCTGGCTTACACAGTCACAAAAGTTACCAGAAGACAAGTTTATATTTAATTTGACCTGATGGAAAGAAGTTCATGCATCTATTTAATGCCCTACAGAGAGCATACATTCCATAAGAACTATTCCTGTGTAAATGTACAATCCTGAAACAATTTCGAAACACTTCTCCACCTGTTCATGAGAGCATTCCCTCTTGCCACTAGGAACAACATTACTTAACAAACATGTGAAGCCAAAAATTCCCAGGACAACAGCTGCTCCAAAGCATTTTGTTCCACTTTCATAAGAGCAGGAGCTACAAGTGTGGCCTTTCCAAGGGGCTGAAATTTTCCACTGCAGCTCAGCTGTGATGAGAACATCTGATGCTCTCTTTTTGGACCAAACAGTAAGGTTGGAAGTAGCATAAGAAACCTAGCATAGATGTCTTTGGAGAAGGTGACACAAGTCCAAATATTTATCTATCAATGCCTATTAGCATGATACCTAAATGGAGTCTCCAACATCCAAACCAGGCACAGATGGTAGCATTAAACCATAGCAGTCACCTGACTGTCATTGTTGGAGGCTTCTTCACTAACCTCCAAATACATTTTGGTATTGAGAGGTTGGTGCTGGGGTTTTACTCTCAAACCTTGCAGACTATTGAAAAAAAGAGTATTTTTAGGCTCGATTCAGCACAATGCTAATGTTTTGAACCTGTAAATCAGTCCTAAGAGCAAGATATGTCAGATTTAAACATTTTGTGGCTCCAAGACCATGGTCTTCCTCTCCTATCATTTGACTTCCCAGTGCTTAGGTTGGTGTGCTTTATCTTTCTCTCTTAGGCACCTAAATACAGCAGTATAGAAACAATTTAGGGGAAGGGTCTAACAATTTGTTCCCTTTCTCAGCCATTCTTAGATTTTCATACCAGGTCTCGGTTACTATGTTGCTTGAGTGTGAAACAAAGAAGGAATCTTTACTCCGAGGGAACCTAAGAAGTACCTTTGCTGTGCTGCAATCTGCAATGACATCAACCTTCGGAAGAAATCTGGGGAACTCCAAAGCTGCTGGAAAGAATGAACACACACACATACCTGAGTGTTTTATCTTTCATAATTCCAAATCACATCACAGAATTCAGCTAGAGCAGTGGTTCCCAACCAGTGGTCTGTAAGAACGAAAATATGGTCCGCAGCCTCACCATTACTATAACGTTGCCTCAAAACCACACATCAATGAGAGTGACTGGTCTCCCGAAATCCTCTTAATAATGCTGAGGCAACTGGGATGTTGGGAGGGGGAGGCTGACTACTGACGAAAGATTACTACTACCACATCAGCTCTAGATTATTAAATATTGTTTTCTGTGGGCAAGCAGATAGTGACTACTGGATGGCATATGTTCTGAATCAGATGTGGTCTATCCAATGCAATTTTCTGAATCAGCACCCCAAATAACCAAACTGAATCTAAAGTTGACCAAAAACTGATTCGTAACCCTTTTGGTCCTAATGTTGGAGAGTAGTCCCTGATCAAAATGGTCCCTGGCCAAAAAAAGGTTGGGAACAACTGATCTAGAGAACACCAGGCTGGGGAAGGCTGCTATTGTGAGTATCAGGTAAAATTTGCACTATTAGAGGAGGAAAGGAATGCTGCAGATGTGGAGCTATAGTGACATCTAGCGCCCATAATATGCAATTGAAAAATATTGAAAACATTGCAGAGGCAGCCATAGTGGCCATTAAAGAAAACAAACAAAATCCCCCATAAAATCCAAAAGGCCATCCATGCCTGTTCTAAAAAATAAAAAAAGAACAGAAAAAACTCTGCAGAAATAGTATGGATCCATCCTGAGCTGTGGGCAAATCTTATTTCCTTCCTCTGAGGGTAAGAAGCAATATGTGTTGCATTTGGACATTTTATAAAGAATCATCCATGTGGAGAACTGCTGATGCCATTTACTCTAGAAACACCACAGATCCTGTGTTGTAACAACAGGTCTAGAACAGTGGTTCTCAACCTGAGGGTCCCCAGGTGTTTTGGCCTCCAACTCCCAGAAATCCCAGCCAGTTTACCAGCTGTTAGGATTTCTGGGAATTGAAGGCCAAAACATCTGGAGAACCACAGGTTGAGAACCACTGGTCTAGAAGTAAACATTTTCTGATGAAATACAAACCCAAAGCTAACATGGATTAATTATAATCAGAGACTGCAATCAGGCATGAGATGAACACGGTAGAGTTACGACACTCACGATCTCTGTATCTGAGTCCCACTGGATCCTCAGGATCTGTGATCAGGATGAAAGGACAGTTTTCTGTGGTTTTGGGGAAATAGCAAACTTGCAGGTTGGGCTCCAGTTCATATGAGTGCCCCTCAAATAAATATTCCTGGTGACAAGGAGCTGTATTTGTTTGCCTAAACACTTCTTCTAAAAATTTGGTGGCTCTGCGTAAGATACCACAAAAAGAATGTATAATCAGTCTTTGTACATACAAGGAATCTGAATCTCTTCTTCATCTTCTCTTGAAATGCCTGCCTTGAGAAATCTCCTAGGCCAGCTTTGGTCACACCTTCCAGAATCTAATTAAAATGTTGTTCTGGCCAGACTGCTGACAGGAGCTGGTTACTGTGAACACATAACTATCATATAGCATCCATTTCAGAAGCTACTGGTCCCCTCTGGGCACAATTCAAAATGCCTACTTTTAAAGTGACTATTCCCAACTCTAAGGAATACCATTTCCCCTCCAATAAGTCTGTCTGATTTTGAAAATCTTTAGGGAAAAACCTTTTTGTCTGTCCTCCCACCACTATCTGAGGATCTTTTGGTGCAGACAAGGGAGGAAACTCCTTCAGTTGTTGTTCCCAAGTTGTGAAATTCCTTTTTACTGATGGATCAACTGGCATCCTCTTTATTCTCTTCCCATCAACAGGCAAGGACCTTTTTATTTAGTCAAACCTATACTTTTAACTTACTATGATAGGAGCCCCCGGTGGCGCAATGGGTTAAACCCTTGTGCCAGCAGGACTGAAGACCGACAGGTTGGAGGTTCGAATCTAGGGAGAGTGTGGATGAGCTCCCTCTGTCAGCTTCCACAAGGATGGTAAAACATTAAAAAAACATCCAGACATCACCTGGGCGATGTCCTTACAGATTGCCAATTCTCTCACACCTGAAGCGACTTGCAGTTGCTCCTGACATGAAAGAAAGAGAACTTACTGTGATAGAAGGATATTTTTAATGAGGTGTGTTTTTATCTTTTAACTAGTCATCCCCTGCCACGCGTTGCTATGGCCCAGTCTGTGTATACTGTGTGTGTTGTGTGTGTGTATATATGTGTTTATATGTGGGTTTGTGCATGCAATATAAAGTATTTTTTGGGTTTTAAGTCCCTTCTGCTGTGCTTTTCAGTGTTTTTATGGTCACTTGTTGGCCTGAGAGATGTATTGTGTCCAAATTTGGTGTCAATTCATCCAGTGGTTTTTGAGTTATGTTAATCCCACAAATGAACATTACATTTTTATTTATATAGATGATGTTTCTGTTGGAAATTACAACCTTCTTCAAATCTCCTCTAGTGATTTGTTTATCTATAATCCTGTTGCTTATGTATTGTATGTATGTTCTGGTATGGAGCTTTCTTTCCTTGCTCTATGTTTTCCTGACAAGTGGGGGGAGTGGCGTTGCAGACTACATGATCTGCTCAGACTTCTTTAGATGTTGGGACTGCTCAGATCGCAGACTTGCAAACACTTGCTATTTTATTATAAGAGAGTTGTTCAGTCCGGATGGCACAGAAACTACCTCAAACATATCTATAACTGACTGATAAGTTGTGTACCTATGTATGCTGAACACATGAAGGTCATGAGTAAACCAAATATGTTATTTATACAAAGTCTACTTTATTTTGACTAAATCAGTTGTTTTTTGGGAGAGTAGATATATTTTTGGGCACTAAAAACATTTCTGAAGAACTGCTATTGGCTGTATACCACTTGAGAAGATTCTACTCAAATGGGTTTTTGGTTCTTCTCTAAAAGGTTTTGATTTCTAAGAGGTCATGCCTTTCTAAAATGTTATGAATACCATTTTCTAAACATTTCAGTGTGTATTTAACTGTTCTAATAGAGCGTTTTTAATGGAACTCTTCATTCAATGCTGTTTAAAGCTTTTGCATCAAACAGATTTTAATGTATTTTGTTTGTAATTTGATGTGAGTCATCTTGGGCTCTGTCCTGGGAGAAAGGCAGGATACATATAAAATGAATAAATGTTACAGCTGGTACTCAAGGGAAAGTTGTGAGCTGACTTCAGGTGCTCATATATAATTATGCTTTTTCATTTGCACTCTTAACCATGGATTCTTATTGATGGGTTTGCTCAATTGCCCATTTCTGATGGGTTGTTCTTAAAGTACCGAAAAATTTCAATGTGATTTCTCACTCTAAAGATCCAACACACTACAAGATAGGTTATATCTACCTATTTATAAGTAGTTTAGTTTTTTTAAAAAAAAAATCACAACTAGCTTGATAACTAATAATAAAACTCCAACCTGAGAACTGGCTGCAAAACAATATCTTCCCTGACCCAGATAGTGATGCTTACGTGTTATAGGGATGGATATAGACATGGAGCATTATGGCTTGTGACAACGAAAAGACGTGAATTATTGCCCTATGTAAGATATCATTAGTTTCAGCAAAAAATTGATCAAAGCTCCAGCATTCCTCTTGATCAGCCTCTAGAATGTTTGCAAGGATGGGAATAAGCGGTCTCTTCAGTCCTCTGTAGAGAAAATGGCACAGATGTTACTTCTACGAAATCCCAGTGCCTGAAAACAAATTATGAACACCCATTTGTAATTATGCTTCCTTTCTCATTAATAAGCACATTTTGGGAGTCACTCAATAAAACTGATTCACAACAGACAAAAGAAAGCATGCTTCATAATGCTAGCTTGTGTTTTTAAGTTAGTCAATTTATCCCTTTCACCTCTATTCCTGCAATATGAATCCATTGCTCTGCTTTCTGGTCTCTAGAGCAACAGAAAACAAGCTTGCCCCTCCTTAACATTACATCCTTTCAAATATTTAAACACAGCTATTATATCCTCTCTCAGCCTTCTTTTCTTAAAGCCAAACATACCAGCTCCCTAATCTGCTCCTCAAAGGGCTTGGTTTTCAGACCTTTGTTCAGTTTGGTTACCCTTCCCTGGACACATTCCACCATGTCAATATTCATTTTTGGAAACAGAATCTAGTTTCCAGATTAACCCTTACATCACACCCAGCAAGACCCATCTTATCTCTATAAGCCAGGATCCCACTGAGTCTAGCAGCTAACACAATGGATCATGTCATAAGCAATTCTATAGACTCAGGGCAAAAGGTATCTTCAAATTCATTCCACAAGTAGAATTCATTCCCTGATTAAACATTCAACTTGCATACAACACCCAGTTACAAAGGGGGGGTGGTGGTGAGGCAATGAGAAGTGAGAGAAATCTACCCCTAGGAAGGGAGATTCCCTCCTGAAAGAGTTATCATGGGAAAAAGGTGTCTCCACTGAAGCTTTATCACCAATCCTTGTCTCCATGACAACTCAATTTTTTTTTACATCTAATTCTCACAGGAACAGAACAACCAGGCACATCTTAACACCTCTCAACAAAAGATTTTCCCAGGCTCAGCCAGGCCTTCAAATGCTAATGAAGGTGGTCAGTTGAAACATTCACACCTAGCTCCAGCAGAGAAGAGCTCTTTGCCCACCCCAGCCATTCCACAGATGTATAAACCCATTGTCCTAATTCCAACAGACCTCACTACCTCTGAGGATGCTTGCCATAGATGCAGGCGAAACGTCAGGAGAAATGCCTCTAGAACATGGTCCTATAGCCCGAAAAAACCCACAAGAACCTAGAACTGTACCTGTTCCGACTTACAAATTCAATTTAGGAACATACAGAACCTAGGGACTGCCTGTACCACTTAAGCAATACCAAAACCAAGTTTATATTACTATGTCAAAAGGACTTTGCATTCTGACAGTGATCAAATGGATCTGGCCTAGATGTTTATCCCAGTTCCACAGCCCTCCAGAAGAATATTAGGTATATAGACATGTGTAAGTATACAATTGCATGAAGAATATAAACAAGACTTCCATGTGTAAGCCAGACAGGCCAGAAGAAAAAATGTGCTGTATTATCTCATATATGTTCAGTTGCAAATAGGTCCCACTGTTTAAAAATTCATGTATTTTCTGCAAGCAGATTTACAATCTAAATGAGAAAGCCAATAGAAAAGGGTCAACAGTAACTATAGAAATAACTCTATAGCTTTCTCTGTGAGAACTTGCTTTCTTTTAACCTCTTTCTACTACGTTTCCCATTGTAGATCTATGTTGTTCAAGAGATTACAAATGTTTTCTACACTATATAAAATACAGATTATCTGCTTTGAATTGGATTATATGGCAGTGTAGACTCATATAACCCAGTTCAAGGCAGATAATGGGCATTATCTGCTTTGATAATCTGGATTAAATAATAATAATAATAATAATAATAATAATAATAATAATAATAATAAATATCTGTATTCTTATATTCTGCCACCATCTCCCTGAAGAGACTTGGGGTGGCTTACATGGGGACCGAGCTCAACATAGACAAAATTACAAAGTAAATGCAATTAAAACATATGATAACCAACATAATTAAAACAATTAAAACCAGAAAAATAAAAACATCATAAAAATACATCAACCGGCATCAACAACCAGTAGCCGGAAAAAAGTGGGAGAAGGGTCCTAAGTAATGGAAAAAAATATCGAATGCCTTTGATCATTATCTTATTTTGTCCCTTGTGTACCCACAGAGACAACTGGCATGAGACTGGCAGCTCATCGGTCCAGATGATGGCCCCATTCTCTTGCTCCTGGACACCTGCTATCGCTCCAGTAGGTTTCTCGGTTGTTATTTTATACCTGTATAAAAGGAGAAAGATAAAATCTTAGAAGATAACAAACAAGTGGAATACAATTTCCACTCTTGAACAGATTTATAGGACAGTCTCTTTCTTGTTCTTTCTTACAGTCATAGAAGAGTAGTAGGAGACAGAGAAGAAAGAAAGACAAGTGAGTCAAGAAAAAGCATACCATATATACATACATTATTTCCTTGTTCCTACGAGGTCCTCCAAAAGGGATAAATGGTAGGTTGCCTGTAGCTGCATGGTAAAAGGTAACCCCAATACTCCACAGATCTACAGTTACCCCATAAGCTTTTTGCTGGGGCTTCTTCAGCACTGCTCGCTTATATATATCTGGGTGCTGTAAATTACAAAATAAAAGAAAGGGAAACATTTTGATTTTTAGCCATGCCTACTTATTCAAATAGTTACTTACCATGCTTTTTTTTCTAGAATCATACAAAGCTGGGATGAAATAATGACAAAATTAGCTCTTTGAAAAGGAGACAACATTTTCTCATTAGCTGAACATCAGGTCAAAAGTGATGACAGAAGTGTTTATGAAAATCGCTGATGGAAAGCATTGCCTTAAGGAGGACTTTTCCCTTCTCTCACACAGAATGTGCCCACTTCTTGATAAGGATTAGATTCCTGCGATACTCCAGATATTGCTACACTCTAACTCCTGCAGAGTCAAGAATGACAGAAGTTGTAGACCAATACAATAAGCATTGTTTTCATCTGCATAGTCACAGAATTATAAAGCTGGAAAAGGCCAATCCCTTCCCATGCAGGAACACACATTCAAAGCACTCCCAACAGATGGCATGTAGAGTTATGCAATTTTAATAGCCAGTTTAAGGGATTCTCTTTCTTTTTTACCATCAATGTTGACTAGAGAAAACTGAAGATAATTGAGATCAACTGATAAGAAAACAGTGCAGAAGGAAAGTTAATTGCAAAGTGACAGGAGACAGAAGAAGGGTTTAGAGTTTCCAATTACTGAGTTTCCAATTACTGATATATTTTTAAATATATTTTTAAAACCATTTGAAATTGCTAAATTCCACATAATTTCCATGTAGTAATGATAAATAATTCAGCTTTCCTGAACTGCAAAGCTTCAAATTCAAATTCAGATCAGATCCCTATTAATAAAATGCATAATGGAAGAAACTAGAGGTATTTTACAGTCATCATGATTACACATCGTGATAGTTGTAAGGTACCTCTAGTTCCTTCCAGTGTACCTTTTATTAATACAATAGCTTTATTGTGCAATAGCTTATTGTGCATGTGGACCTGTCTTAAAAGATATCCAAATTGGTTATCATCATCAGATTCTGTAGCAGTTAATTCCAAAGTTTCACTATGCACTTTGTGAAGAAGTCTCCTCTTTTCTCTGTCCTGAATCTGCCATCATTTTGGTCACTTGGCAAGATCATCCTCCCATATATCCAAAAATGCAGAAGGAGAACAGAATTCCCAAAGAAAGAAACAGAAAAGTGCTCAATCTGCAAGTTTAATTAAGCTAACCACATTCCTCTATTTTCTCTCTCAGAAAAAAACCATGCAAGGTAAACCAACCCTTGTGTGTCAGAAATTATTCTGTAAGTTACTTCTTGCTGAATTTGTCTTTGCTAATTAGAAGGTCTGATATTGCACTTTACTTACAAGATATTCTTCTGTCCCATAAACTGATTCAAATTTTTCATCATCCTCCAGTTCTCGAGCAGCTCCAAAATCAGACAGTTTGTATATACTCTGTCTGTCTTCACTGGTTAGCCGCATGATGTTTCCTGGTTTGATATCTCTATGAACAACCCCATTCTCACGAAGATGGTTCATTCCAGATACTAGATAGGGAATAGAGGGGAAGAAAGGGGTGGTGATCCTTTCTTCCATTTTAACATTCGTAGATGGATATGACTCCCTTGTGTTTTCACTCAATGAAGAGAACCTCAACTCACTGACAAACTGCTTCACAGAACTGTGTTCTAGGTATATGAAGGACAAAATAAGCCACTAATGAACACTCTCCCCAAACTCTCCCTTTCCATTGCAAGTAGCTGGCGTATGTATGATTCTGATCAGGTGGAAGCCTCAACACCTTGAGACTACCTGTACTCCTACAAACCTGTTCAGATTCTAAAATTAGCAAGAGAAGCTAGGCTTGCAGGCAAGCTCTATTAGTCTGGTGGGCATGATAGAGACATTCTTTTCTGTGGTAGCTCTGACTTTATGGCATGCACCACTTAGGATGTACACATGGTTCCTTCCATGTTTTACAATCTATTTTTTCCTGCCATTATCACAACTTTTCTTTTATATCTCTGTTAGTCAGTTTCATCCTATAGTTAGACCACAACTTTCATTATCTAGCTGGTTGGAGTTTCAATCCAACAACATTTTAGGGCTTCATTCTTGATGAATACTCTGAGGTTTTTAAAAAACTGTTGTGGATGTTTTAAATATTTTATATTTATTGAATTCATTTTTTTCTGATTCTTTGTAGAGAGTTTGCTTATCTTACATTAATAAATTAATTACACACACTTCTCCCTAATTCAGCACAGTCCGAATTCAGCATGGAAGCCTCCTTGTTAGCTCTTTATGCTTTATTTGTTTGTTTATTTATTTAAAAATTCCTCAAACAAATCAGACTCAGACATGTAAACATCACATCTCGTCTAGCTTTGGAATAACTGAATGAAATGACATTTCAAAGTTTAATATCGGATATACTGACTTACCTATAGGACTTAGTTGTTCTGGGTTTTGTATATTACTCCCATATTTATGATCATAGTCACATCTTTTTGGTTTACTGTTTGTAGTCTTCACACACGCACACACATGCACACCTTTTGTTTCCCACCTGGAGTCATATTCTATGCCTGTTAATTGGATTAGGGACAAGCAAAGTCCAACTCACACCATTAAATGTAGCTGCAGAACTTACCTACACAGTGCAACACTATGAGGAACTCAGATTCCGATAAGCCAAAGGCATTTTCTGGCTCTTCTAACAGGCTCAGCAGGCTCCCACCTGAACAGTACTCCATCACCAACACCTTCTGCTTGCTGATTTCCTGTGTTTGGATTTGAGGACAAACCTCTTACTGATAGTATGAACATGGTGACAGTTCCAAACAATTAATTCTATCACAGCTGAAACAAGCATAAATTCCCCACAAACCTCAGTATTATGATAAATATATAGGGAGGGCAGGATGGAAGGAGGTAAGAGAGAAATATCTCCTAATATAAAAGTTTGATGATGTTGTTTAAGATTAGGAATAGTTTATGTATGTGTTAGTGTATTTCCCTTTTCGCTGTTTTTCTGCAGAAAATAGCCCATTTCCCCAAACTGTATTATTTCCTTGAAGAGAGAAAAGGTGAGGACAATAGGTGTTAAAAACAGCTGGGAATTGAAGGGTGCAAGGAAAAGTGTCATTTCATCAAGGAGTTCCTGCAAAATCAACTCTTTTAACCAGAAAAAGAACAAGGTGAGCTGAGAAAAAGAAGAGGACAGCAAATACAATCTGTAAGCAATACTCAGAAAACAGCCTAATCCCCTTCAATATGATGTGGTTCACTGCACAAATTGTAATCCGTTTCCAAATTATAAGGAAGCAAATATAAGTCCATGGACAATGATGCTCTGAAGCACACAGGGCAACCATGTAAAGTAAGCTAGGTGGCTCAAAGCCACAAAATATATCCTCACCAGATGGTTAAAAAAAGACCTTCCTTGCAATAACAGTTCAGTTCTCTCAAGACTGTAATAACTAATAGCACACACACACACAAGGTCTCATAACAATGCACACACAAAATTGATTCATGATAAAGCAGACATTTCTCTGCTTCACTGCCCTGGATTGCTGTAAAGTGTGCAGAAAGATAAGATCTTCAAGCCCACTAACTGCTTATTGTGTGCTGTCTGGATGAATAACTTAGGCTGGTAATGAAAATTATATCTCCAGCACTCATCCCTCTGTTCATATTGGCCCTAACGAGACTTCAAAAAACAAGGTGTATACCCACAAACCACAGGCAGAGGAAATGCCTCTTATCCCTACTTGCATCATCAGCAGCAGCAGCAGCATCATCACCATCATTATTTTGCTTTCTTCATGGATGTGCTCAGTACCCTATTCTTTTAAAAGAAATGAATGGTTTCTTATTGGTCAACAAAGCAGCACATTCATGAAGAACACATTGCACATCTCTCCTGGGATAATAATGCTTTGGAACCAGTGGTTTAATGGAACCAATGGAATTGCTGTACTAAAAAAAAGTTAGTATTGGATAGTATGTCAGTATGCCATGGCAATGAATGGATAAATAATTAAATTGGCCACAGAATGATGGACTTGGTTGAATTAGACATTAACTCTAGAGACAAGGTTATATACAGTACATTGTATTATAGAATCATAGAATCATAGAGTTGGAAGAGATCTTGTGGGCCATCCAGTCCAACCCCTTGCCAAGAAGCAGGAAAATTGCATTCAAAGCACTCCCAACAGATGGCCATTCAGCCTCTGTTTAAAAGCCTCCAAAAAAGGAGCCTCTACCACACTCCGGGGCAGAAAGTTCCACTGCTGAACGGCTGTCACAGTCAGGAAGTTCTTCCTAATATTCAGATGGAATCTCCTTTCTTGTAGTTTGAAGCCATTGTTCTGTGTCCTAGTCTCCAGGGCAGCAGAAAACAAACTTGGCCCCCCACCCTATGACTTCCCCTCACATATTTATATATGAACATCATGTCTCCTCTTAGTCTTCTCTTCTTCAGGCTAAACATGCTAAGCTCTTTAAGCTGCTCCTCATAGGGATTGTTCTCCAGACCCTTGATCATTTTAGTTGCCCTCCTCTGGACACATTCCACCTTGTCAACCTCTCCCTTCAATTGTGGTGCCCAGAATTGGACACAGTATTCCAGATGTCGTCTAACCAAGGCATAAAAGAGGGGTAGCATGACTTCCCTGGATCTCGACACTATGCTCCTATTGATGCAGGGCAAAATTCCGTTGGCTTTTTTTTTGCCGCCACACGACATTGTTGGCTCATGTTTAACTTGTTGTCCACAGGACTCCAAGATCTTTTTCACACGTACTGCTCTCGAGCCACTTGTCCCCCATTCTGCATCTTTGCATTTCATTTTTGCTGCCTAAGTGGAGTATCTTGCATTTGTCACTGTTGAACTTCATTTTGTTAGTTTTGGCCCATCTCTCTAATCTGTTAAGGCCGTTTTGAATCCTGCTCCTGTCCTCTGGGGTATTGGCTATCCCTCCCAAATTGGTGTTGTCTGCAAATGTGATGATCCTGCCTTCTAACCCTTCATCTAAGTCATTAATAAAGATGTTGAACAGGACCGGGCCCAGGACGGAACCCTGTGGCACTCCACTCGTCACTTCTTTCCAAGATGAAGAGGAAGCATTGGTGAGCACCCTCTGGGTTTGTTCATTTAGCCAATTACAGATCCACCTAACCACAGTTTTGCCTAGACTACATCTGACTAGTTTGTTTGCCAGGAGGTCATGCTACTTGCTACTTCAGTTGTAAACTTTGCTTGTTTTATAGATCGTGTTTTATGTTCATTTTTTTCAATACAAACTTCTTCAAAAATAATTGTGCACAGTGCAACTTTACATAGCTTGAGGAACATTTTATGTAGCTACATAAACTGAATTGCTACATACAAGACACAGTACATAAGGTAAAGAAAACCCATATACACTTTCTGGATAGGTTAACATAGAAATAAGCAGAGTTTGGTAACATTTGGGGATGCGTTTCATTACACTGCTATTATCACACTCACATTATTATATCAATCAGCCACCATTTTGGATAGAAACCCAAACTTACTATTTCTTCCACAGAAAACAGTTTGACAATGTTCTGGTGGTTTAACTTCCTCAGCACCTCAAACTCTCTTATCTGCACTTCCTGAGGTCTCAGGTAACTCACACTGTTGAAGACCTTGACAGCAACCAATTCCCCTGATATCTGGCAAGAGAAGAAAGGAGACACATATAATCAGGGACTATTCTACATTTTGCATATAAACAAGAAGGGAGAAAGCCACAGCTCACCAACATGCATCACTCTTTTTGTTTTTTTATTTGTTTGTTGTATTTTTAGATATAACTATCTGAAAAATATGGCAAAATTTCTATATTAGCATTTATATATCCACATCAAATGAGGCAAAATCCTATACCTTTGCCTAATGAAAAGACTGTTCGGAAGCTTCTAGTGGTCCAATGGGAGTCAGCTCCACTGGCTGCCAGTCTGCTACCGAGCACAATTCAAAGTGCTGGCTTTAGCCTATAAAGCTCTAAACCAGTGGTTCTTAACCTGTGGGTCCCCAGGTGTATTGGCCTACAACTCCCAGAAATCCCAGTCAGTTTATCAGCTGTTAGGATTTCTGGGAGTTGAAGTCCAAAACATCTGGGGATTCACAGGTTGAGAACCACTGCTCTAAACAGTTCCGGCCCAGCTTACTTATCTCTCTCTATGATCCACCTCAGAGGTTATGATCTTCTGGGGAGGCCCTGCACTCTGTCCCACCTTCATCACATCTGTGGTTGGTGGGGACGAAAGACAAGGCCTTCTCCATGATGGCCCCTTGCCTATGGAATTCCCTCCCCAGTGAAATTAGAGCAGCCCCCTCCCTCCTGACCTTCAGGAAGAAAGTAAAAGCGTGGTTATGGGACCAGGCTTTTGGCTAGCAAGTTTTAGTGCAATATGAGAATATGGAATAGTGAAATGACTAATAGAAAGGCCTTGGATCATGATTTGTGACAATGTGATTTTAATAATGGGTTTTAATATTGATATGTTTTAATTTCTTGGTTTTAATGTATTTATTTTACTGTATGCATGCTTATGGCACTGAATTACTGCCTTTCTGTAAGGCCGTTCTGAGTCCCCTTTGAGGTGAGAATGGTAGGATATTAATTTAGTAAATAAATAAATAAATGCTACTCAAACTGAAAGATGGCCTCTTTGGAAGACCTCATTATTCAAGATGGCTTATGCAGGCAGAGATAGTCCTCTGGAAATGTGGTCCCAAGAGCTGTGGAAGCCATAACAAGTACTCTGAATGCATGGCCTCTCTATGCCAGCCATGCACAAACTTTGACCCTCTAGGTCAGAGATCTTCAAACTTTTTAAACAGAGGGCCAGGTCACAGTTCCTCAAACTGTTCGAGGGCCATATTATAATTTGAAAAAAATATGAATTCCGATGTACACCACACATATTTTATTTGTAGTGCAAAAAAACCCCACTTAAAAATAATACAATAATTAAAATGAAGAACAGTTTTAATAAATATAAACTTATTAGTATTTCAGTGGGAAGTGTGGACCTGCTTTTGGTTGATGAAATAGGGTTGTTGTTGTTGTGTGTTTTCAAGTCGTTTCAGACTTGAGTGAGGGCTAGGTAAATGACCTTGGAGGGCCATATCCAGCCCCCGGGGTTGGGGGATCCCTGCTCTAGGTGATGTAGCTAAAACTGTATAGAGCAGGCATGGGCAAACTTCACCCCCTCTAGGTGTTTTTGAACTTCAACTCTCAAAAATCCCAGCCAATTTACTGGCTGTTAAGAATTGTGGGAGTTGTAGTCTCCCTAGCAGTTTTCCATAACTCTGATTTTATTTCCTGTTTAATTGTTTGATTTGTTTCCAAGGCTTCCCAGCCAACCCGTATCTCCTTACCTTGTTGCGTGCTTTGTACACACTGGCAGTGGCACCTTGACCAAGAATATCGTCTGTTTTCCAGAGATAATTCAGAGTGCTTTGCATGGCTAGAATGAAAATGGCTTGGCTGCAAGCTGCAAAATACATGGAAGCAGACACAAATTTCAATAGCAGATACATGCCAAACATGATCCGTTTTTTCCTCAAATGAATTTATTATCTTTTCACTTACGATTAATGCATAAGAAAGGTCTGGGTGTGAATTACAACTTAAAAACATTCCTCCTCTGGAAGAACTAAAGACAAATTAATTATAGCAACAATTTTCTCTTGTGTGTTTTGCATAACAAGATGAAAAAAAACATTGTTTACACTTCAAACAGTCCCTTGCTGAGGTTTCTGAAAAGACCTTTGCTAAGTTATTCTTAACAATTATATCTCATGTCTCCACAAAGTATCACTCTGTGGCTTATACTGTAGCAACACAAATACACATACAATTAAAATACACAGAAAACAATAGAAAAAACCAACACAATGAAACCCAAACAAACAACATAGCTGTTTAGAGAAAAGGGAACAATATACCCAGTGGTAAAAACATGTATATAATGTATTGTTGTTTAAAAATACTCTTTAGAATTGGAAGAAAAGCAAGTCTAAGAAGAGTCCTACCAGTTTCAGAAGTATTTATTACTCAGAAATTCTCTTGTTAACACAAATGTCCTTGGTTTTTAGCTATAGTAGACACAAGTGAATAGTTAAAAAAAGCATTAGTTGAAAACAGCCACTTCCCACTGACGCTCTTCCCTTAAATGAATGAAGGAAACATTCTTAATTTCTTTTTGCTGCCAACTGAAATCTTCCTGTTTTATCCACACGTTGTAAGAGTTCAATCTAGCTAAATCTACATAAAAACACACAAAATAATAGTTCCGACTAACAAGTTCCATTAAACGTGCGAACTTTAGCTAGGACTAAGATTCAGTTGGGGCCACGGTGGCACAGCAGGTTAAACTGCTGAGATGCGGGACTTGCAGACCGAAAGGTCAGCAGTTCGAGTCCACGGAGCAAGATGAGCTCCCATCATTAGCCCCAGCTTCTGCCAACCTCAGCAGTTCGAAACATGCAAATGTAAGTAGATCAATAAGTACCACATTGGCAGGAAGGTAACCTTTCTAAATGCCATGGCAAAATGCTATGGAGTCTTGGGGTTTGTAACTTGGTGAAGTCCCAGCACTCTTTGGTACAGAAGGTGAAAGACTTTGCAGAGATACAGCGCCCAGGATTCCAATGGCAGTAAAAGGGATGTGTAGATGGATCCAAAGAAGTCAGGGGCATCGTGGCACAAAGGAACCAAGCTGAGCTACCCACCACTTGTTCTGGGTAGTCTTTTGGGGCGAGGGAGCCCACTCACCTGAAGGAAAGGTGCCCCACTGCCTGGGTCACTCGGTGCTAAAGGGGCAGGCTCTGTGCTGAGACTTTCCCTGCAGCAACAACACCGAAGCAACTTCCTGCTTTCTTTCTCTCTTAAAGGTACATGTCTCTATTCTCTTTCCACCCTGCCAGCCGAAACGCAGGGGAACGCAGACCAAGGTTTCCTTTCGCTTTCTCTCAAGCTGAGTGTACACTGTTGAATTAATGCAGTTCGATACCACTTTGACTAACATGGCTCAATGCTCCGTAATCCTGGGAATGGTAGTTTTACAAAGTCTCCAGCCTTCTCTGCCCAGGCATGCTACAACTTCCAGGATTCCATTGCATTGAGCCAAGGCAATTCAAGTGATGACAAACTGTATTTATCTTGCATCTGTTTTGGCCTTCAACTCCCAGAAATCCTAACGGCTGGTAAACTGGCTGGGATTTCTGGGAGTTGAAGGCCAAAACATCTGGGGACCCACAGGTTGAGAACCACTGGGTTAGACCTTTGTGCCGGCTGAACTGCTGCCTGAATGTTGGTGGTTCAAATCCATGAAACAGGGTGAGCTCCCATCTGTCAACTCAAGCTTCCCTTGTGGGGACATGAGAGAAGCCTCCCACAGGATGATAAAACGTCTGGGCATCCCCTGAGCAATGTCCCTGCAGGGGGCCAATTCCCTCACACCAGAAGCAACTTGCAGTTTCTCAAGTCACTTCTGAAACGATAAAAAAGGCAGTGTAGACCATTTGGCCATTTCTTTATTTTTGTGCATACACACACAAACTGATAGTTGGGTGCAGTTCAAAGGTGAATGGGTCTCTTAGCATATTGCTATGGTTCCACTTGAACTGCCATGGAAACATCCTATGGAATCCCCGCATTTTAGAGTTGTGGTGAGGTAACAGAACACTCTGGTTGAGAAATATCTCTCCCTGAACTGCACACCCAAGGATTTCATAGCATGGAACTATGGCAGGCATGGGCAAATTTTCCAAGTTGGGGGCCACATGGCAGGCCAGAGTGGGGTAGGCAAGCTGGGAGGGAGGGGGTTCTCCCCAAGCCCCCTCCCTGCCCTTTCCTCCCCTTCCTCTTCTCTTTCGGAGGCAGAAAGTGAAGAAAAGATGGGAAATATTTGGATCCCAAAAGGAGTAGCCTTTGTCAGGATGTGATGGTGGAAGGAAGAGAAAAGGTGTATCCATTAGAGCCCCATATTGCCTACTCCTGATATAGAATCCTAGAACTGGAAGAGACCTCCAAGGGCCATCCAATCCAACCCTCTGCCATGCAAGAAGGCACAATCAAAGCACTCCCCATAGACAGCCTCTGTGGAAAAGCCTCCAGAGAAGGAAACTCCACCCAAGGAACAACCCAAATTGCAAAAAATTAGCCTCTTTTACTCATACAGTAGTGTTAAGGGGGGTCTCTTCCAGGTGTTTGCGAATTTGACTCCCAGAAATCCCAGGCAGCTTACCAGCTGTTAGGAATTGTGGGAGGTGAAGGCCAAAACATCTGGAGGAGCACAGTTTGAGAAATACTGCTTTAGATGAACAGTCTAATAGCCCAATGTCCTCAGGTACTAGAATGGTCAGGGTGACTGTGATGATGGCTGTTGCCATTAACACAGCTGGAGAACACTAATTTGGGGGAGGCTGCTTTAGATATCTTGATCCTTTAAAAGCCAAAACCAACCATTTGAATTGGGCTTGGAAATGATTCAGGATCCAGTGCACCTGGCAATAATCAATGCAATATGAGTATATTAGCAAACTTGCAGCTGCATGAATAATACTCTGTATCTTTCATCTCAGACATTTCCAGAATGCTAGGTATGTGTGGATATTGAAAGTGTCTGGAATATTTCAGGAATATTCCTGTTTGGTTGCTTTGTAACACGCATCTCCTTTGTCTGGGAATGTTCAAGGTCTTTGTCCTCAGGATTATAGATTCATGAGGCGAAGAAGAGATGCGGCTGATTATAACTTCTGTTTAAAAAATGATAAGCATTGATTTCATTTATGAAGGCAAATAGCAAAATAATGATTGGATCTGGGTCTGTTCAGATGTCTCTAGATCTTTGAAAGCTACAGAGGGGGTCAGGGTCAAAGCCTTAAGACTTTTTCTGTTTTCCGATCAATAATGCTCCTGCACTTCATTCCCCTGTATGCTCCCTTACATCGGCTGCAGGATTTAATGTGCCCTGTCTCAGATCTTTTAATTATCATGAAAATACAACAACAGCTTTAACTATTTTAATTAGCAACAAGAAGTCATTTCACATTTTGTTTTCATATAGAAGATTATATCCTGCTTTTCTATTTTAAACTAGCTGTACCCGCCACGTGTTGCTGTGGCCAAACTTCCCTCCCCTTTCTCTCCTCCTTTCCTTTCCTTTCCTTTCCCTTTCTTTCCCTTTCCTTTCTTTCCTTCTCTTCCTTTCTTCCTATTCCTTTCCTTCCTTCCTTCCTTTCCTTTCCTTTCCTTCCTTTCCTTTCCTTTCCTTTCTTTCCTTTCCTTTCCTCCTTTCCTTTCCTTTCCTTTCCTTTCCTTTCCTTCTTTCCTTTCCTTTCCTTTCCCTTTCCTTTCCTTTCCTTTTCCCTTCCTTTTCCTTTCTTTCCTTTCCTTTCCTTTCCTTTCCTTTCCTTTCCCTTTCCTTTCCTTTCCTTCCTTCCTTCCTTTCCTTTCCTTTCCTTTCCTTCCTTTCTTCCTTTCCTTTCCTCTTCCTTTTCCTTTCTTTCCTTTCCTTTCCTTTCCTTTCTTCCTTTCCTTCCTTTCCTTCCTTCTTTCCTTCCTTCCTTCTTTCTTTTCCTTTCCTTTCCTTCCTTTTTCCTTCCTTCTTTCCTTTCCTTTCCTTTCCTTTTCCTTCCTTTCCTTCCTTTCCTTTCCTTTCCTTCCTTTCCTTTTCTTTCTTTCTTTCCTTTTCTTTCCTTCTCTTTCCTTTCCTTTCCTTTCCTTTCCTTTCCTTTTTTCCTTCCTTTCTCCTTTCCTTTCCTTTCCTTCTTTCTTCCTTTCCTTTCCTTCCTTTCCTTTCCTTTTCCTTTCCTTTCCTTTCCTTCCTTTCCTTCCTTCCTTTCTTTCTTCTTCCTTCCTTCCTTTCCTTTCTTTCCTTCCTTCCTTCTTTCCTTTCCTTTCCTTTCATTTCCTTTTCTCTTCTTTACCCTTCTTTTTTTTTTTTTTTCTTTCTTTTTTCTTCCTTTTCCTTTCTTTTTTTTTTTTTTTTTTTTTTTTTTTTTTTTTTTTTTTAATTTGCTTTTTTTTTTACTTTGCTGCTATATGTATTGTATTCTGATGTTTTGTTTTTGTTTTTTGTTTTTTTTTTGTTTGTTTTTTTGCATTTTATTCTGTTGTATTATATCTTTGGGTGTGGCCCCATGTTAGCCGCCCCGAGTCCCCTTTGGGGAGATTCCTTTCCTTTCCTTTCCTTTCCTTTCCTTTCCCTTTCTTTCCCTTTCCTTTCCTTTCCCTTTCCTTTCCTTTCCTTTCCTTCCTTTCCTTTCCTTTCCTTTCCTTTTCCTTTCCTTTCCTTTCCTTTCCTTTCCTTTCCTTTCCTTCCTTTCCTTCCTTTCCTTTCCTTTCCTTCTTTTCCTTTCCTTTCCTTTCCCTTCCTTTCCTTTTCTTTCCTTCCTTCCTTTCCTTTCCTTTCCTTTCCTTTCCTTTCTTTCCTTTCCTTCCTTTCCTTTCCTTTCCTTCCTTTCTTTTCCTTTCTTTCCTTTTCCTTTCCTTTCCTCCTTTCTCTTCCTTTCCTTTCCTTCTTTCCTTTCCTTTCTTTCCTTTCCTTCCTTTCCTTTCCTTTCCTTTCCTTTCCTTTCTTTCTTCTTTCCTTTCCTTTCTTTCCTTTCCTTTCCTTTCCTTTCCTGTCTTTCCTTCCTTCCTTTCCTTTCCTTCCTTCCTTTCCTTTCCTTTCCTTTCCTTCCTTTTCTTCTTCCTTCCTTCCTTTCCTTCCTTTCCTTCCTTTCCTTTCCTTTCCTTTCCTTCCTTCTTTCCTTTCCTTTCTTTCCTTCCTTTCCTTTCCTTTCCTTTCTTTCTTTCTTCCTTTCCTTTCCTTTCCTTTCCTTTCCTTTCCTTCCTTTCCTTTCCTTCCTTTCCTTTCCTTTCCTTTCCTTTCCTTCCTTTCCTTCCTTCCTTTCCTTTCCTTCCTTTCTTTCCTTCCTTTCCTTTCCTTTCCTTTCCTTTTTTTTTCCTTTCTTTCCTTCCTCCTTCTTCCTTTCCTTTCCTTTCTTTCCTTTCCTTTCTTTCCTTTCTTTCCTTCCTTCCTTTCCTTTCCTTTCCTTTCCTTTCCTTTCCTTTCCTTTCCTTTCCTTTCCTTTCTTCCTTCCTTCCTTCCCTTTCCTTTCCTTTCCTTTCCTTTCCCTTCCTTTCCTTTCCTTTCCTTTCCTTTCCTTTCCTTTCCTTTCCTTTCCTTTCCTTTCCTTCCTTTCCTTTCCTTTCCTTCCTTTCCTTTCCTTTCCTTTCCTTTCCTTTCCTTTCCTTTTCTTCCTTCCTTCCTTCCTTTCCTTTCCTTTCCTTTCCTTTCCTTTCCTTTTCTTTCCTTTCCTTTCCTTTCCTTTCCTTTCCTTTCCTTTCCTTTCTTTCCTTCTCCTTTCCTTCCTTCTTTCCTCTTCCTTTCCTTTCCTTTCCTTTCCTGTCCTTTCCTTTCCTTTCCTTTCCTTTCCTTTCTTTCCTTTCTTTCTTTCCTTCTTTCCTTTCTTTCCTTCTTTCCTTTCCTTTCCTTTCCTTTCCTTCCTTCCTTTCCTTTCCTTTCCTTTCTTCCTTTCTTTCTTTCCTTTCCTTTCCTTTCCTTTCTTTCCTTTCCTTTCCTTCTTTCTTTCCTTTCCTTCCTTTCCTTTCCTTTCCTTCCTTTCCTTTCCTTTTCCTTTCCTTTCCTTTCTTTCCTTTCTTTCCCTTTCCTTCCTTTCCTTTCCTTTCCTTCCTCTTCCTTTCCTTTCCTTTCTTTCCTTCCTTTTCCTTCCTTTCCTTTCCTTTCTTTCCTTTCCTTTCTTTCCTTCCTTCCTTTTCCTTCCTCTCCTTCCCTTCCCTTCCCTCCTCCTCCCCTTTCTTTCCCTTCCTCTTTCCTGCCTTTCTTCCTTTTCTACCTATTCTTGGACTGCAATTCCCAGCAGTCCTCCTGATCA